GATTTTATTGGGAGCTAATACAGGTGTCAGTCATATCGTTCCATCACATCAAGCCGTATCTTACAATTGCTACCACCATCAGTTTCAAGACACTTTCTTCCTTCTTGAACCCCTGGACATCAGCTCCCCTTTAGCCCCTGCCCCCACTCCCCCCGGGATGTCCCCTCCAGGAACCCTTATTCTACTTGTCATCTCTGTAGGCTCATCAATCCTGGGTTTCATATACTGAAAACCAGAAAAACACGTGACAGTTCAAGAGGGTTACCCCCACTGACAAAATACATCTGAGATAAACCCCAACATGAAAAACAACAACAACAACAAAATGCAGAAAATGTTGAAAACCAAATCAGGCCCAACGTGCACCAGAGGGAGGATTAACCGACAATGTCTGTCTGTGTCCGAGGTTCATGCTTCTGACCTTCCAGAGTCATCTCTCCAATGCACTGTTCTCCCATCCCCTAATCACGGACAGAGGGAGGTCACCGGAGGTTCATTTCCTATGCAGATCCCACAAATGTATCTTGGGCTCCCGCTCCATCCATAGCCCTCTGCAAGCCAGAATCTCCCATTTTTGGGCCCTGACACTGTTCCTTCTCTCAACTTCGGATTCTATGATTTACAATCCTTTGGGCACTGATGTTGGTGGACTTGGTTGACACCTGTTCTTGAGATTTATGAACCAGTGGCTTCGTGGGCTCTGGAAAGTTCTGTGAGGCCCCAGTGTAGCCCACCGAGGACCAAACTCTACTCTCAGCAAGTGGCTAAAGTAACAGGGTGAAGGAGGGGTTAGAGGCTTCTGGTGCAGCTTGGACAGAGGGCCTTTTATCCTGGACTACAGACGACCCCAGCAGCTGCTGTGCGTGGCCTATAGGGCCAGTGTCCACAGCTCCAGGAACTGGGTGGAGGGGTCAGCCTGCTGTGTGGTTGTGTCCCCAGGAAGAAGGAGCCCATCTGGAAAGTCCACTAAGGGCAGCTATGGGCTCGATTCTGCTCCGATGCCCTGCCTTGAGGCCCTGGCCATGGTCATTCAAGACCAGCTTCCACCTGTGGACAGCAGAGCCGCTGATCCTGGTCATCTGTATTCTGGATGCCATGGGGCTGGGCGCAGCAGGGGCGGGTGGAGAGGGCTCAATTCTCCGACTCCATGTCTGCTTACTGCGTTGCCTCCTTCATGGGGCTGAAGCCACACGCTGTTCAGGCCGGAGCTCACCGCAGCCTGTCGGCGAAGGCAGCGTGGCTGTGTGCACTTCCGACGCATCAAGTCATGTTCGAAGCTTGGCGCTGTTGCCGGGCTGCCGTTTGCCAACAAACCCACCGCCATCAAGTCGATTCCTACTCACGGTGACCCCGATAGGACAGAGTAGAATCACCCCCGTGGGTTTCTGAGACTGTCACGCTTCACTGGTGTAGGAAGCCTCGGCTTTCTCCTGAGGAGCAGCTGGTGGCTTGGAACTGCTGATGTTGGGGGTTCCCAGCCCCGCACAGAACCACGAAGACACCAGGGTATAGAGGGGGCTTATGCAGGACCTGTACCAACAGGGGTCAACAGGGATTTCTTTGACAAAGGTGGGTTATGCACTGAGCTGCTAATCTGGAAGGTCATGGGTTTGAACTCCCTAGCCACTCCGAGGGAGAGGGAGGAGGCTGAATGCTCCCATAAAGACTTAAAGTCTGGCACACCCGAAGGGGGCAGTTTGACCCTGCCCTGCCCTGCAGGGTGGCTGTGAGTCAGAATGTATTAGATGGCAGTGTGTGTTTATCTTCATGCAAGTGGGCAGAGAAGCAAGGGACAGCAGGGAAGATGTGCCCTGCTAGACCTGGGAAAAGGAGGTCTGCACGGCGAGACCAGAATGCCCATTGCCACGGGACCCTTTCTGACTCTTGGTGACTGGGTGTCAGGGTCAACCTGTGCTTCGGGGAGTGTTCCATGAGTGTGAAGTTGGGGAAGGAGCTCCACCGCCAGGCCGTTCTGCCCAAGCGCCCCTGTGTGGGTTTGAACTGCCAGCCTTTTGGTTAGCAGCTGAGCTCTCAACCGTTTGTGGCACCAAGGCCTCCCAACAGGGCCAGTCTCCAGTGGCCCCTTCCTGCTGGGCTGGGAGAAGCAGGCTGGTCCCTGACCAGCCGCTGGAAGGTGCTGGCATTTTTCTGATCTCTGCGGGCT